TGAGGCTGAAGCAGGCTGAGGCTGAGGCTGAGGCAGGCTGAGGCTGAGGCTGAGGCAGGCTGATGCTGAGGCAGGCTGAGGCTGAGGCTGAGGCTGAGGCTGATGGCAGGCTGAGGCTGAGGCAGGCTGAGGCTGAGGCCGAGGCTGAGGCAGACTGAGGCTGAGGCTGAAGCAGGCTGAGGCTGAGGCTGAGGCCGGCTGAGGCTGAGGCTGAGGCAGGCTGAGGCTGAGGCTGAGCTGATGCAGGCTGAGGCTGATGCAGGCTGAGGCCGAGGCCGGGCTGAGGCTGAGGCTGAGGCTGAAGCAGCTGAGGCTGAGGCTGAGGCTGAGGCAGGCAGGCTGAGGCTGAGGCTGAGGCTGAGGCTGAGGCAGGCTGAGGCTGAGGCCGAGGCTGAGGCAGACTGAGGCTGAGGCTGAAGCTGAGGCTGAGCTGAGGCTGAGGCTGAGGCTGAGGCAGGCTGATGCTGAGGCTGAGGCTGAGGCTGAGGCTGAGGGCTGAGGCTGAGGCTGAGGCTGAAGGCAGGAGGCTGAGGCTGAGGCTGAGGCTGAGGCAGGCTGAGGCTGAGGCTGAGGGCTGATGCTGAGGCAGGCTGAGGCTGAGGCTGAGGCTGAGGCTGATGCAGGCTGAGGCTGAGGCAGCTGAGGCTGAGGCCGAGGCTGAAGGCAGACTGAGGCTGAGGCTGAAGCAGGCTGAGGCTGAGGCTGAGGCAGGCTGAGGCTGAGGCTGAGGCAGGCTGATGCTGAGGCAGGCTGAGGCTGAGGCTGAGGCTGAGGCAGGCTGAGGCTGAGGCAGGCTGAGGCAGGCTGAGGCTGAGGCTGAAGCAGGCTGAGGCTGAGGCTGAGGCAGGCTGAGGCTGAGGCTGAGGCAGGCTGATGCTGAGGCAGGCTGAGGCTGAGGCTGAGGCTGATGCAGGCTGAGGCTGAGGCAGGCTGAGGCTGAGGCCGAGGCTGAAGGCAGACTGAGGCTGAGGCTGAAGCAGGCTGAGGCTGAGGCTGAGGCTGAGGCTGAGGCTGAGGCTGAGGCTGAGGCAGGCTGAGGCTGAGGCAGGCTGAGGCTGAGGCTGAGGCTGATGCAGGCTGAGGCTGAGGCAGGCTGAGGCTGAGGCCGAGGCTGAAGGCAGACTGAGGCTGAGGCTGAAGCAGGCTGAGGCTGAGGCTGAGGCAGGCTGAGGCTGAGGCAGGCTGAGGCTGAGGTTGAGGCAGGCTGAGGCTGAGACTGTGACTGCGACTGCCGTTGCCACTGCGACTGTCATCGCGAAAACGACTACGACTGCGAGAACAGCAGAATTCTACAACTGGATTCTCATCTGAATCTTAAGGGGGATGCTTCCATATATGCTCCTACACATCGCTGTTAGATTGCTTTGCCGGGATAATCTAAAGCGAACATGCGCGGCGCTAAGGCGAGAAGCACATTTTGACAATTAGTCGCCCTCAATCC